ACTTGAACATTACAAATACGTTTCAATATTAGAAGTTGGGAATAAAATTGTGAAAACAAATTATAGAGTTACAAAGTTGCAAACTTGATTAATTGGGTACAATGTATAACTTCAAACTTAAAATCCATTTGAGCATGTCCTCACTTATACAAATTACATAGTCCCCCTTCAGCTAAGACACTTGGAAAAAAATTGAAGAAGAAGCAATTTTTACATAATCGGAATGGTGAATGTTGATGAGGATCAGACTCTTCAGCTACGCAAATGCATCATGCCCATCAAAGATTAATGACTAAAATAGATTACAGATTAATGACCTAAGCAACTGATTACTTAGGGCAGAGAAAAGACGTCAAACAGAACTAGAATAAACATGACAAACAGCTTTACTGGACAGCTTAGGGAAGAGATGACAGAGAGCTTTACTCGCTTGCAATGAGACAGGGAAGAGACGATGAACAGGGCAGGGAAGAGACAACAGACAAGTAATTGTAGGGCAGAGTAGAGTAGAGAATGAGCAACCTCAAATTTTCATCAGCCAAATAAGGGTGTTTCGGTCATTTCTCATTATATTAAAATGATACTCAAAGACCTAGGGACTTAATTGATATTTCAAAATGTCTCTAGACTTATGTTGAATAAAATTGATCTTTTAGGACTTAATTGTCATTTTTACAATTCAAATTGCAAAAAATGACTAGCCCAAAAAAGAAAAAAAAGAAAACTAAAATAAAATTGCAAATATGGACAAAAAGCACCTGTGGGACCCACCATGTAAAGGCTGCAACCGATAGACGTAAGGACGGGGTGAAATTTTTTAAATCATGCCCACGTGGATCAATGGCAAGCAGCAACAGAGTAAAAGACAAATGGCCATCTAATCTAAGGTATTATAATTCGTGGATAGTTTTAGTAAAATAATATAATATAATAATAACCGTTTGATTATTTAATCTAACAATTATAAGAGATTTTATTATATAACATTAAAAAAGTATTAAATTTTACATTTTTGAGAGGATAAAAATGTAAGAAGTGTTATAATTAGAGTTGGTAATTCGGGTTACATCTAATGAGATAAACTAAAAAAAAAATTAGGATTACACTTAGTAAAATAATAATTTTTAATGTTCAGGTCTATTCAGGTTAGCTAAAATATACTCAATAAAATTTGAACTAATCTCGATCCCAAATATCCAAATAAAAAATTATTTTTTTAAAAATATATAAAATATAATAAATATTAATTAATTCTTTGAGTTTTAACTCATTTTATATTGAAATACCATATATTTAAATGCATTAATATATTAGGCCAAACAAAAATGCATTACTATAGATATTTTAAAAAAATTGAAAATATTTGTATTGTCATATTTTTTTATTTTTAGTCTATAAAATATTTTAAAATAATATTTAAAATATATTTTTATATTTATTTTTAGATTTAAGACTCAGATATTTTTTAAAAAAATTTTGAGTCTTATACTTTATTTAAGAATTCAAAAAATTTATTTTATATTTTTTATAAAATAAAAATAAGTAATTTCAAAGTAAAAAAATTAAATTAAAATTAATTTTAAAAATAAAATTGTGAGTATTTGGGCTATCGAAAGCTGAAATGAATTCAAGTTAGGCTGAACCTGAATTATCCGATCTAATTCTGATTGGGAATATTGTTTTAAACTTTTAAGGGAAACATATCTTGATAATTTTTAAATATTGATCAAACCCAGTAACAATAATTAGAATATTCATAGAGTGAGTATATATTAAGCCACTTGATAAATTTGAATCCTCTACCGTAGACAACTAGCAATTCATCAAGATTGAGATATAAATTTGATGATTTAAGCAAGATAATAACTTACCATTAAAATTTTTGAAGCAAACTCACTTTCTTCTGCCAAGAAACGAACTCACTTGATAAAGTAGTGCTCTTTGTATTATAGAAAAAATAAGCATTAGTTTCATTATCATAATCGTTTTATTTTAATATGAAGGATATCATATTAAATAATTATCAAGCCAATACAAACAAGAGAAATCAAAACCTTGTGACTGAACACCTATACTATGTCTACATAAATTTGGCAAGTTTGGTGTGAACATCCATATCTTCTATATAAATTTGGCAAGTTTGGTGAACATCTGTATCTTCGATATTGAATGAACAGTTAATTTCCGAAAATACCCCCAGATTTTTCCCCTTTTTTAATCTTTTGCCATTGCAACATTGTCGGATCCGACTTTTCAAATTTTTTTTATGAATCTAACGTTTTCTTTTTTGTAAAAAAAAAAAAATGGTACCATCATCCGACTTTTCATTTTTTATTTTATTTTTTATGAATCTAACATTTTTTTTTCAGATGGATATGGTACGTATGAAACTTAAGATACTTAAAAATGAGAAAATTATTTTATCAATTTTTATCTTAATTAATAATACTCTCTTCTATTTTTTGAAACCTATATGAATATTTTTTTAATATAGATAGTTATAAAATATAAGCCCTCCTTTTATTCTTAAGATTTTATTTTCATTCGCCTAGCCATTAGTTGACCCTTAAGTTATGTGTGCTGGACTAAAATACTTTTATTTAAATATAAACAGTACATACAAAACTTATACTTAAAAATGAGAAAAATATTTTATCTTTTTATATCTTAATTAATGATATATCTCTTCTATTTTTTTAAAAGCTATATCAATATTTTTTTGGTATAGGTAGTTATAAAATACAAGCCCTTCTTTTATTTTTAAAATTTTATTTTCATCCACCTAACTATTAGTTGACTATTAAGTCACGTATGTTAGACTAAAATACCCCTATTTAAATGTAAATGTTGTCTAAAAATTATTTAAATTACCAAAAAATTAATTTTTTATTATTTCAATGTATTTATTTTGTAACTTTTTAAAAAATCAAATGCATAAATTGGCCAAAAAAGATATTGAAAGATGCAGTGTATGGACTCAATAAAGAGAAAGATAAAATAAAATATAATATAATAATTTGAGGTAGTTAAACTAATTTAAATAAACTCGAAAACTAAATGTGTTAAGAATCATGCTCAACTATAAATTTTTTATATATTTAGATATTTTAAACTCAGTATGAATTGAGGCTCTAAGGTTAATAGAGAGAATGTAATATTTTAATAAACTTAATTTTTAAAAAATTTAAGAAGTATCGTTTAAAAAGTAGTGTGTAAGACCTACCATTAAAAATATGAGTGGGGTCTATACTTATAAATTTTAGAAATTTAAACAAGGTATAAAAATAATAAGATTTTTGTATTTTGAGAGATCATGTAGGATTTTGTACTAAAAATTCATGATGAATATAAAATTTTTAGTAAAATAATAGATGTTATATATACAAATTATTTTTTATATACTTCTATTATTAAAAAATGTAAGATATTTTTTGAGGGGTTGGATATTAAAAAATGTAAATTTTTTAAGTCTTTTAAGATCTAATTATTGCCTTTTTTTTCAAAAGTGACTCTATTAAATAAATTATTTTATATTTATTTTAGGGTGAAATACTCTATTAAATAGGGATAAATATGAAAAAATAAAATTTGTTTGATTGAGGGTAAGATTCAGTTAAAAATATCTTATATTTTTAAATGAAGAGAATATCTATATCTACATAAATTTTTTTAATTTAAATTTTTATTTTTCTTCTCAAACACTAAACTATTCCAGTGCATTTTTAAAAATGTAAACATTTTCACTTTCTCCTTTAAAAATATAAGAGATTTTTAATTAAATCCCGCATTCAATATGTAGTTAATTATCTTCCAACTAATACCATTTTTTATATTTATTTTTATTTAATATTATGTTTCATTTAAAAGTAAATATAAAGTAATTTATTTACTATAAGAATTTAAAAAAAAATTACATTAATTACACTTTAAAATACTAAAAATGTCTTACATTTTTAAATATTTAATCCTTTAAAAAATATGTTATATTTTTAATAGAGGAAGTTAGAATGTTTTCATTTTTTCTTTTTGCATAGATACAAAATTACATATACGTGAACAATTTTTTTGGGTAAATATAAAGAATAGGCCCTACCAACAACAAACTTTCAAGGTACTAGGAGCGATGGTAGATAAGGTATTTAAATCTAGACCTGTTATTAAATCGATCAAGATAGTAGATTAAAGGTTTATGGTTTAACTAGAAGTTAACCTAGAGTCATATTGGTTTTAATTAAAATAATATAATATAATTTTTATATATAAAAATATTTTTATTTGAACATAAAAATGAATATTTAAATAAAAAAGCAATAATTTGCTTGAATTAACCCAACAAAAATTCAATAAAGAGAAAAATCTTATACATGTCACAATCCTAATAAAAATTCAACACTTTGTAAAATCCCAATAAAAAGTTAAATAATTTTGCTCAAATAACCTAAAAAATTTAATACAAAGAGAAATGACCCCAGCCACTTGTTTAAATGACAAGTGCCTTTACTGCTCACATCAATTTTAATTAGTTTAATGAACAAAAAGTTTAAATATAATTGTGTCAATAAGTATCCTAAATCCTAAACTATTGCACGAATATCATCTTAAACCCTAAATTTTTAAAATGTGTAAAAGCTCTTCTCAACTTTTAAATTCTGAGTGCTTGAAATTTCATTGTTAAGTTGAAGAAAATGGCTATTATTTTTGTTATTATAGGGTTCAATTGTATACTGATGTAGCACTCATCTTGACCTTTAAAAATAATAGCTATTTTTTCTAATTTAATGGTGAAATTTCAAAGACTTAAAATTTAGAAATTTAAGAAAGTTTTTGCACAATCTAAGAGTTTAAAGTCTATGATAATATTCACTTTATGACATTCATTAACCCAATTAACCCAATACAATTAAAACAGTAATAGCCTTGCCCACGTTTGAAATGGTGGCCCAAAAAAGAAGATCGTTGAAATTCGGAGGCCCATGTCAGTGGAGCCCAAAGCCAGATACCTAGACCATCCTTTCCTCAACAATCACTCCCATCCAGCAGCTACCATCCACCACCTCTGCTTGTCCTGTTACCACCGTTAATTCTGCCGGAAGAACGGCCGGAAAGTCGTTTGTCGGTCTTTGTTAGCACGCGAGCTTCTTCTTGCTCGAAACTCAGTGTTTATAAAACCCTACTAAAAAATTTAGTGGGAAAAGTTAAGACCCTTTTAAAACCCTAATTCTCTCTGTGGAACCACATAAAAGCTTCAGTCATGTATGGAGGAGGTGGTTATAATACTTTTTTTTTCCGTATAATATAGTTCTTTCCGATTCTCCTTTCTGTATGTATTTTTCCTCATCGCGCATTGTGTTTTTTGGGAATTCACAGACGAAGTATCTGCAATTGTGATTGACTTGGGCTCCCACACTTGCAAAGCCGGTTACGCCGGCGAAGATGCTCCCAAGGCTGTGTTTCCCTCCGTGAGTGTTGTTGTCTTAGTTCCTCATTTGGCCTTTTTTATTTCTCTTTTTCTTTTTTTGAATGTTGCCTCCGTTCCGCTGAAATATTAGAGTGTGCCAGTTTTTCGAGTTTTTCAATATTATTTCGTTAACTATTGCTATGTAGGACTCAGTTACTTTTCTGAGCTCTGGCATTCTGAGTGGTGATAAGCTTTTATCTCTAGATAGAGGAAAATGCAAGTGATGTAAAGTTTATCAGGAGGCCTAGAAATTCCATGGATAGTTTTAATATTTATGGACTGTATAATGTCTTATAGGTTTTTCAACTTGTATTTATTTAGGTTGTTGGAGCAATTGATCAAATGGACATTGATGAGCCTGATAATACTGAAAAGAACTCTGCTTCTTCTGCGGATTCAAAAAACAACACCAGAAATCCTGATTCTGACAAAACCAAAGGAAAGCGCAAATTGTATGTAGGATCACAGTCCTTGGGATACCGCAGAGACCATATGGAGGTAATCCTTCGTAATTAGCTCCTAGTTTAGGTAGTCGCCTTCAGATAATTTATGGTGATTTTTATGTTTTTGTCTTGCCATCAGGTGCTATCACCGTTGAAAGATGGAATCGTTGCTGACTGGGATATTGTTGATAGCATTTGGGATCATGCTTTCAGGTTTTTAATGATTTTCTTGTAGTAGCGATGTCTTTTCTTTTCTCTCTCTCTCTATCTGTGTTTTTTTTTTTTTTTTTAAATGGGTGCAACAGCTTCTATTCGTGTGATAATGACTGATGGGTTCTTCCTCCCATCCCTCTGCTGTTTTCTTATTGTTGCTGCCTTGTAAGTTTCCAGATATCATTTTATCTCTTTTATACTATAGAATTGCTCAACAAGTGACTTGAATGACACTTTTAGGGAATGCCTTTTGATCGATCCTAAAGAGCATCCAATGCTACTTGCAGAACCTTCTTCTAACACTCAACAACAGAGAGAAAGGTATTCTAGCCTTATTTCTTTTTTTTCTTTTTTTGATTTGGTTTTATCTGTAGTGCAACCTGATACCTCTTGTCTAGTATTTTCAGTTGGATTCATCTACATTTACATTTTAGTTTGTTCTGTATCTGACAGGACGGCAGAACTTATGTTTGAAAAGTACAAAGTACCTGCTTTGTTTTTGGCCAAGAATGCTGTAAGTGAATGGTTTTTTCACTTCTCGATACCTCCTTGTTGAAGCATATCAATTATTTTGAGGAAAAGAAATAGTTATTGGAAATTTATTTCTAACTTCATATTTCTTGATATGATTGACAATTTTAATGAATTGATTGATTAACAAGGGTTTATTGTTTAACACCAGGTTCTTACATCTTTTGCATCAGGTCGTGCCACGGCATTGGTTGTTGATGGGTAAGGGATATCACATGTCTGGCTAGTAGTTTGGATATTGTCTTTGGAGATGTTAATTGCCTAACCTGATCTGATTGTGGATCTCTGTTCTTATATTGTTAGATATTAACATATAGATGCTCAGATGTTATGTGATAATGTTCTGTTTTATCTTAAATGTCTCATTTTTACTTCATGTTAGCTGGACGAAAGGTTATATGTATGTCTGAAGAAAATGTGAGAATTCCATTTAGATTTGAAGTGGGTGGACTATTTTGGGGGATTGGGTATCTTCCAAGGAGCATCTAATTTTATGTTATTTTCCCTAAGATACTACAATATAATGCTGGAATCATTCTTGATGAGTAGTTTTTTGTCAATATTTTAATTACTCAGTGGTGGAGGATCAACTACTGTTGCACCTGTCCATGATGGTTATGTTCTTCAAAAGGTATAGCTCATTATCTAAATTATTTCTGAGGAGTTGTGAATACTAATTCATTCCTTGGTATGCACCAATATCCGATCTTTAAAATTTAGCTTGACTACTGACAGGTTTGAAGACTTAATTATTGAAGTATGTTTTAATAAATACATGTGTGAAAAATCTTTATTTTTAAAATTATAAAAGATGAATGGGAAATGATATTTGTTATGACACAGAAAACATTTGAATGATTAGATTCCAGAAAGTAAAATGTTTACAAGGGTTTCTAATCGTATAGTCTTCATGGATACAATTTTAGCAAATGAGACGCACAAAATTTATTGTTATGGTGATAATACTATGATGATTTGTAAATCTATGGTAGTCTACATGTGTGTGAGAAGATCTGATGCAATCTCCTTTTCATTGCGCACTGTTAATAAGGGAATCCTATTTTTGTTAGATTATATTTCTTCACATGCACTATTCATGCATCCTTCCTTCCATTGTCTCTGTTGGGGGTGACTGTCACTATTTCTTTGGATCATGTATTATCTTTTACGACAGGCAGTTGCAGCTTCTCCTATAGGAGGAGAGTTTCTTACGGATTGCTTGATGAAAAGTTTGGAAAGTAAGGGTATTGTGGTGAGTGGCAAACGTTGGATTTTTTTCCCTGTTCCAATATCCATTTGAAGTAAGGTTACTATAATTTTTATTTGGCTATTGAAATATTCTTCCTTTTTATTGTGTTATCTCAGATTAAACCCCGGTATTCCTTTAAGAGAAAGGAAATCCGGCCTGGAGAGTTTCAGGTATATCAAGATTGCATTTTAGTTACTTGTGATTAGCATAACTTGTTACTTCCAATATTTTGTTTATCTTTAAAAACAAAGCATTATGGTTTTCTTTTATCCAAAATTCAAATTTAGGTAGCACGGGATTCAAATCTAGTTTCATTGATGCATTTGGGGCAACACTGCCAAACTTAATAGCCAGAATTTTTTATTTTGAACTTTTGTTTCATTTAGCTCCATAAGTGCTTATATTGAATTTATTTTAATATGTTGCTGCTATGTTACTTTACTTGAATAATCTATCTTTTGCTTACAGACTGTAGATGTTGATTTTCCCAATACAACTGAAAGCTACAAACTTTACTCCCAGGTCTGTGAATAACCAAAAATTTTTCTTTAATTTTTTTCCATTACATTTACTGACTTTTTCTTGCGACAGAGGGTGATTGCTAGTGATATCAAGGAATGTGTTTGCCGAGCTCCTGATACCCCATATGATGGTTTGTGTGCATGTTATTTTCATATCATATCATGTTCGAATTCTGTTGATTTTGTGCAGTATGTTCATTGATCTCTCCAACATTTGCATGGATAACTACCTTACATATTATGGCATTGCTTTTACTTTTTATACATTTATATAAGCAAGACTTTTCAAAACATACGTCCTAGATAATTTGATTTGCAATCTTTCCTGTTGACATGGTTTTCTTAACTTGTTCTTTATTGCTTTGCATTGATAGATCGTATTCAATGAGATTTCATTGCTTTCTCCTTTATCCAAAAGCAAAAGACCCTTCAATTCTTCAACACATTCATTTTCAGTTTGAGGAAATTTTTGTTGTTGTGTAATTATAATAAAAAGAAAATAATTAGGAATTAATTGGGATTTAAATAGGTTTAGATATGATTTATGGTTTAAATAGGATTTAAATTTAGATAGGGTTTGATATTTAATTATATTATTATTATATTAGTAGGATTTGGATAGATTATGATATATATTCATAGGAGAATAATGCCACCATAAATCATAGGAGAATAAAGTCTAATCAACTAGCAGCCACTATACTAAACAAACTTAACAATTAGGTTAAGCATAAATATGTCCAAGGCCCAAGACATGTTCAACATTCCTCCTTAAGCGGAGAATAGATGTTAATCATTCCCATCTTGCCTCTAAGTTCTTTAAACTTGGTTCTTGACGAGGCTTTAGTTTGCCATTTGAATTCTTGACGGGATATATAATCAAGATTGATCATGCCACCTTAAGTTTTTTTGTTTTGTGAAATTCCTTTCAATTTCCATATGCTTTGTTCTATCATGATGAATAGGATTCTTTGAGATCTTTGTAGCATCCATGTTATCACACCAGATATGTATTGGTGCTGTAACATCCCATGTGCTAATGCTAATGCACCACTCTTTAATTCTTAGAACCAATTGTATCCAGACTACTTCACAAATCCCATGTGCTAATGCTCTTAATTATGCTTTTGCACCACTCCTTGCAACAGCATTTTGCTTCTCACTTGTCCAAGTTGCCAAATTTCCCCTGACAAATGTGCAGTAACTAGGAGTTGATCTCCTATCTACAAGAGAATCTCCCAAATCAGTGTCTGTATAAACTTCAATGTCTTTAGTTCTCCTTTTTGAGAAGAACAGTCAATTGCCAGGTGTCTTCTTGAGGTATCTCAATATTTTATACATTTCTTGCATATGCTCCTTTTGAGGTTTATTCATGAACAAACTTACTACACTAACAACATGACAAATGTTTGGCCTAGTGTGAGATAAGTAACTCAGTGTTCCAACCAATCTTTGATACCTTCCAACATCAACAAAGATTCCATCATCTCTCATTTTTAGCTTGCATGTAGTTCCATTGGAGTATTTGCTACTCTAGCACTAAGCATCCTTGTTTCTTTCAATAGATCAAGTATATACTTTCTTTGTGAAACATTCATTCCCTCACTTGACCGAGCCATTTCCATTCTAAGAAAATACTTCAAATACCCAAGATCTTTCACCTCAAATTTCCTTGCAAGAGCCTTCGTCAATTGATGAATCTCTTCGTAGTCATTACCTGTAAGATCATGTCATCAACACAGACAACTAAAACTGATATTTCCTTTATTATGTCATGCAAAAAAGATTATGATCGGTTTGACATTGATCATATCCATACTTCACAGCACAAGAAAATTTCCCAAACCAGGCCCTTGATGATTGCTTTAGCATACAAGGACTTTTGAAGCCTATGAACTTTTGATGAATTTTCAGCTATTTTTAAACCAAGAAGTATTTAAATATACATCTCCTCCTCAATGTCTCCATTTAAAAAAGCAATTTTCACATCCAACCAGTAGAGTGGCCAATCTTTGTTACCTGCGAGAGATAGGAGATTTCTAATGCTATTTAACTTTGCTACTAGAGCAAATGTTTCTTGGTTGTCAATACCATGAGTTTGACTAGAGCCTTTTGCAACCTATCATTTGGTTTATATTTAATTGTAAAAACCTACTTACAGCTTACAACAGGTTTCCCTTCAGGTAATTCACGTAACTTCCAGGTGTTATTCTTAGCAAGTGCAGCCAACTCTTCATCTATGGCTCTTTTCTAGTTTTGATTTTGCAGGCCTCCTAAAAATTTCTTGGAATCTCCTCACAGGAAATATTTGCAACATATGCTCTAAAAGAAGGAGATAATTTCTCATAGGAAGCAAACTTATTTATAGTATGTTGTGTACAAGTTCTTAGCCCCTTTCGTAGAGCAATAGGCTTGTTCAAGCCCGCAAGATTTGGATCAGGTTCAACTTCTTGATTTTGTTGGAGAGTGGAGTTGATCTCTATTTTTTATTTTCTTCCTCACATCCCCTCTAAATCACCTCTATTGTTGTTCAGGATGTTTGTTGGTTCAGTTTCAGGTCAGGTAAAGCAATTTTCTGGGCTGTTTGAGTCTTTTTCTCAACTTTGTGGGTGAGAACAGAAGTTTTCAGGTCTATCTGAAGGGTTTTCTTTATTGTCTTGATGTTTTTCTGAATTGCGTGGAAAGGAACATGGAGATATAGGAGACAAAACAGTATTGGGGATGTTTAAATCGCCAAGTTCAGGTTGATTAATGTTCTGTGTCAACCATTCACTCCCACTGTTCTCCCCACCATCACAGCCAATTTTAGAGTATAATGGTTGTTGCTAAAAAAATGTGACACCCATTGTGACATAAGCCCTTTTTGTATTAGGACAAAAACATTTAAAATCCATTTGATTCGGTGAATATCCTGAGAAAATACATTTTACAGCCCTAGGACATAATTTTCCATCCCCTTCATTGAGAACATATGTTGTACATCCAAACACTTTCAGAGGTGGAGAAGACGAGTGGTGAGTAAGGTTGGGTTTCAAGAAATTTTTGGTTAGTAGTCTGAAAATTAAGGACCTTTGTAGGCATTGTATTGATTAGGTAGGGAGTATTAAAGATGGCATCCCGCCAAAACCCAACAGTCACATAGCTTGTCATTGTTATTGCCCTAGCTATTCCAATAGGTGTCTATTTTTCCTTTTTGCAACTCCATTTTGTTGTGGAGTATAGGCATGAGATTTGGTGATGGATTCCATGGATATTGAAAAAAATTTGAAATCCCTTACTCAAGTATTCTCTTGCATTGTCACTCTTAAATACTTTGATGGAAGTTTGAAATTGATTTTTGACAAAGGCATAAAGTTGTTTGAAAATCTCAAACACTTCAGACTCCTCTCTCATCAAGAACACCCATGTCATAAGTATGGACATCTATTAAGGTCATAGGCCACCTTGATTTCATTATATTAGGAACTTTTAAAGGTCCCCGAATGTCACTATGGATGAGAGAAAAAGGCCGTGTAGGTTTATAGGAGTTAGATGGATACGTGCTTTTAGCATGTTTTGCTAGTCCACAAAACTCAAATTGAAAAGAAATAGAATCGTTATCGATAAGCTTTGGAAACTTGGCTTTCATTTAGCTAAAACTGGGATGTCCTAATTTGTGAGGCCACAAAAGTACATTTTTAGAAATAAAAACAAAATAGGCAACTCGAGATCTCACTCCTTTGTAGTCTGGAGCTTTAGAAAAATAGAGACCACCCTAGCATTGCCAATCATCCGCCCTGAATTCAAATCGTGCAAAATACAAGTCATCCTCAAATTAGTATGACAACATTGCCTCTTCCTCAATTTACTAACAGCCGTAAGAATGCACTTGAGATTGGGAATATATGACATGTTAGTCAATTTTAATTTGTCACAAATAACCATTGTTCCAATTCCACCAACTTTAGAGTATGTTCCATCTGCTTCTTTTACTTTCCTAGAGCTTTTAGTTGTTTGAAAAGTCTCAAATAAAGCATTATTACTGGTCATATGATCACCAGCACTTGAATCAATAATCTAGGTGGTTTATGGTTCCATAGATGGAAGATCCATAATCATATTACCTGTTTGTGCCAAATTGATATTAGGGAAGGATGATAATTCATACTTCTCCAGTAACTTTGTCAACATCTTCATATCTTTGCTTCATTTTCCGGTCTCTGAATCTTCTTTCTCTTCTGCGGACATCATAAATCCTTTGCTTTCAATCCTGTTCTTGTGCTTTGAGTTTGGAAGCTTGCCATGAAGCTTCCAAAAGTTTTCTTTAGTGTGTCCAAGCTTATTGCAGTTATCATTCTTTAGATTTTTCTTCCCCTTAAACTCAGTTGTCCTCCTTTTGCCACCATAGCAGAAGATTCAGTTGCTGGGGTGATTGACAAATCAACATTTTGGGTGAGCTGTTTTCGGCTTTCTTCCCATTTTAACATGTTATATGCATTTTGAAGGGGTGGAAGTGGAGTCATCCCCATTATGTGACCTCTAACTTCCTCCAAGGAATTAGAGTCCCAAAAGGAACTCATAAGTGATACGTCCTTTCCTTCTCAACAAGCTATTTGTAGCTCTGCAAATCAGTTTGATGGGACCATTGATGAACTACATACAAGTATAGTTGCTGCCACAGTCTCGAGTCTTATATAGTACTGAATGACACTCATAGAGCCTTGTTTAAGCACTATAAGTGCTTTCTTGACTTGAAACAAGGCTACTATACCATAACTGAATATGTGCTCTTCACTGAATCCCTAATCTCCTTTGCAGTAGATGCAGGGAGATGTCCCTCACTAGTTTCTGGTGTCATAGAATGTATAAGCCAAGACATTACCCTTTTTCTGCCGTCCATGTTTTATACTAAGGTATCATCAAGTAAATACCTCTCCATCTTCTTTCCTATAATGAACAGCGAGGCACACTGAGACCATTGAAGTTAATTTGTTGTTGTTGAGCTTGTGCCTGATAAGAATAGATGGTGCTGTTTCACCATTGATGCCAGTTGAAGATTGAGAGCCATTGTTAGAGAAATTTTGTTAGCGTCCTTGCTCAGATTCGGATAGATTCCTACCGTTTCCATGGTGACCCAGTGACTCATTGTTGATAGAGGAGGTTGAAGAGCCATTTCTGCCAGTGGCGAAGGCTCCCCCTGGACTGAACATGATTGGGCTCCTCTGGTTCATTGTTTTGGCTGATACCATGGGGAAAAATATTTTCCTATGTTTCTTTCTATGTATTCGAGAAAATGGAGAGATGGGTACATATAAGGAGGATCACAACATCTAGCAATAAATTATTCTCTCCCAAAGTCAAAGATTATAAATAACAGTAAGATACATTGGACATGATAGAGTCCAACAACTGGTATGGGTTAAGCATATAAATATGGGCCAAGGCCCTAGACATGTCTAACACAGTTAATTCTTCATAGCTATCCTAGATTAGATTGTTATAATTAATCTTGTATTTGACATTCTGTTTTCTTCCTTTTTTGTGTCAGAGAGTGCATACTCAAACATTCCGATGACCCCATATGAACTTCCTGATGGCCAGTGAGTGCGAGTTAATTTTTCTCATGGAAATTATGATATTGAATTTCTATGTTAATGTTTGATGTGCCTATTTCTAGTATCTTGGCCTTGTGTATTTGCAATGATCTCTATTGCTTTATTGCCTACTTTCTGCTTCTGGTTTACTGCCCTTTTTCATCTGTTTTTTTTTTTTTTTGTATGAACTTGTTATAACACAGGACAATTGAAATTGGAGCTGATAGATTCAAGATTCCTGATGTTCTTTTTAATCCATCTCTGGTCCAGGTGTGTAGCCTGCATCTGTAAACATTTTCATTCATCTGGTGTAAAGTATGTGATATACTCCAGGTGTAGGTAAATGCAAAATTTTAGCATTGGTTGAATCATCTATTTTCTCTGAATGAGTTGGATCTAGGTAAGATTCACAAATGTTAAGATCTTGAATTGGTGCTTTAGGATTTCATTTTGGCCCGCACAAATTATGCCAAAAGCAGCTGTTCAGTGCAAGGCCCAGACCTTAGGTTATGGCCTTGTTATTGAAATCCTTATGAACTGGTAATGTCAGATGATCATGCATATCTATGTCTGCCCAGCTGCCTTAAACGTCTTCGCTGGACAATATACCACCCCACTATTGTGACTTCTGTTGGGATAGGCAGGATATGATGCCAACCTTGATGCATGTGGGATATAAAGAGGCAAATAAAATGAAGTTGGAAAGGTCGGGAGGGATTTGTTTAATTGAAAATATTCAAAATGCTGTCATAATTACTTAATAAAAAGAAATGGAATTATGAGATCGCAAATGACATAAGCAGCACTAAATGCTTTCCTTCAGTATGTGCAAATAATGTTTGCTCGCCTTGTAATGAAGCAGATTCATTGGTTATTAATGTTCATTGCTCATATGCTCAAACTTTTCTGCAAATTGTTGTACCAGAATCGTAATCTTAATAATGTAACGTTATATCACAGTAGCACCAATTGTATGGCCTGTATCAACTTTTTCGCTGATATTGTTTTTCATCTTGCTACTTTTGGGGTATTAGGCTGCTTAGTTTCTTGTTTCTACTACCCTTGTTTTGAAGCTAAAGCTAAATATTTAAGCTACTTTAAAGTTGTTTTTGTCCATTAAAGATTTTCTTATTTGAAAAGAAAAGAGTTTCTACACGGGCCTGGATGAGTGGCGTCACTCATAATGTGCACTCTTCCTATTCCAAGTTATTTTTCCTTCTACTATTTTCTTTTTTATTTTTTTTAATTCAAAGCTTATCTGGGCTAAATTTTCTTACTAAACAACAGACTATTCCTGGCATGGAGAGTTATGCAGAGATTGCTCCTTCAGTTCGAGGTCTGCCACAGATGGTAATAAAATATTTGAACTGGAGGTCATTGGGCTTGACTTTTCTTCCTTTTCTCATTATTTCCCTATGTATTTACGTGCAGGTTATAGAGAGTATTAACAAGTGTGATGTAGACATCCGAAGGGAATTATTTAGTAGCATACTGGTAAGTTTACCTTATTTGCGCATTGGCATGTTTTTGCATCTTTGTGTTGGTCTGTAAATAAAAGTAGCTTAGCATGTGAATCTTTGGTGTATTGTTCATGGTGTGTCACAACATACCCTTTGTCATGTGGAATGGTGCCAGAGTTTTGTGCCAATTGTGTGCTGCACATGCATTCTATACCATCACTATTTTACTAAAATGTTGGTGCAGTTTCGTTCATTCTTATTTCTCAATCTTTTTCCAACCCGTGCCCTTTCCAATGCTTATGGTGATGCCCATGAGCCCTTATTGCTAGTGTACCATGATCATTACTAACCATGCTTTGGGGTCACTTTCATATGTTTAGGATTGGATGCCCTCCTTTTAGTTTATAACTAAAAATAGAAAAATTATGTTATGCAGCTTGCTGGTGGCACAGCTTCAATGCAACAGTTGAAGGAACGCCTTGAGAAAGACTTGTTAGAGGTATAATTTTTTAGCACGCTGATTTCAATTTTACACATTTGCCAATTTTCTTGTTATAATTCTTAGTTATGATAACGTCAGGGGCTGTTTTCTCTTAAAGATACCTCTTTAATGCAACAGTCAGAAATATTGTTTTAAAACACGTCACCATACTTTGTACCTTTAAATCTTCTGCAGGATAGGATTTATGGTCATATTCTTTTTGAGGAGCTTTAAGAAACTTTTCATCATCATAAATATGTTTTCAAAATAGTCAAAGTGTTTTAAAATAAGTAGGGCTTCTTAAAATTAAGTTACTGAGTTGAGAATTGTCTTGTATCATTAATTTTTCTTTTTCATCAAGCCCAACTATTCAATTGAGAAATGACCTGCCCAATAGTTGAAGTGCAAGCATTTCATTGAAAGAAAGCAACCAAAACAACGAGCGGTGATTGGATAGGAAGTGTTATTTTCTTTCCATAATCCAGCTTTCTATTCAGCTCCTTAACCTAGATTGGGTTGTGAAAGTGAAGCATCAATGCAACAAAGTGATTCTGGTAGCTAGTGCTCAAACAAGCCCCTATTTGTAATGTCTGGTATCCACATTATTTTCTCATCTACCTGTAGATATTTAGAGGCACATTGCTAATTAATGAGCATGTCTGTTTTTTTGGTTCATTTTCTTAGTTGCTGGATTAGTATTTCTAGCCTAGTTTTTTGTAGTTTGTCATTTTTTATAGGACATATCTGAGCAGTCCTATCTGTAGATATTTGTGCATGATTCCCATTATATTGCCAATGTAAACTAGACACCAATTGTTCAGCCCTTGAAACTTTTGTTTGCAATGACACTTGAGTTGATTTTTCATCTTAAATAAGCATTCTTGGAGCCAGGTAGTTTGCGATGATCAGTTTAGAATTCAGATGAAAGCTTCACTAATGATAAATTCCTGTGATGTTATAGTAACCCAACAAATAATGCCCTTCTTCCAAATTTTGTAAAATCAATGGTGCCCAAGATATTCTAAAGGATATCTTGGAATAAACACTAGAGTAAGCTACAAAAGATTCTAAGCCATGGCTGGCCCCCTTTTCTAGTTCAGTTGATGAGTGGATGCTTGGGTATCTAGAAAAACACATGCATCAGTCACCCTTGTATTGCCATTCCTAAGTCCTTGCTTAGATTTGCATTCCCTCTCTCAGCTGATTCAACAAAGTGGATTATCTAACAACCATTTCCATAAGAGCATATTTGTGCAAAAGAGCAATGTCATTGTGAATAGACTGGCTTGGGACAGGCTTGCTTGTTTTTAAGAGTTTGACAAGTCAAGGTTTTGATTTGTACTTTCTTGCTAAGAGCAGGGACTACACCACCCATCCTACTACACTAGAGAGAAAAAAATAAAACCTATAGCTTACATAGCTAGTCACAAAGCCTTCACTACCAGATGTCTAACTTTTGTCGACAACTCTGAATTGTTTGGAAACCATAGAATGCATTAAAGATCATCTTTGAGTCTTTATTTGTTTGATCTAATCTTAGATGTTTAGATTGAGTATATTTAAGAGGAAATCCCTAAATGCATGCTTTTCGCAGATGATATAGTTCTTATTGCGAAGATAAGAGAGGAGATTAACTGTAAAATGGAGTTATGGAGGAGGACAATGGAGTTAAAAGGTTTCCGTCTGAGTAGGAATAAGACAGAATATCTACATTGTAATTTTGATAAGAGTCAGTGAATGGTAATTTGAAAGTGAAATTGGGTGATCAGATCATACATCAAATGAAAAAATTTAAATAATTTGGAGCGATTATTCAACATAATGGGGAAATTGACGGAGATATTGCGCATATGATACAAACTGGATGGTTTAATTGGATAAATGTTAAAGGAGTTATCTGTGATTGAAAGGTACCAAATAAACTTAAAGGAAAGTTTTATCGAACTGCCATAAGACCAGCAATATTATATGATAATGAATGTTGGGCTTTAACAGGATAGCAATAGTACAAAGTTGGAGTAGCGAAGATGAGAATGTTGAGATGAATGTGCAGACATACACGTAAAGACAAAATTAGAAATGAGTCTATAAAGGAGAAAGTGGGTGTTGCACCTATTGAAGGAGAAATAAAGGAAAATCATTTGAGGTGGTTTGGACATGTACAGAGAAGACCATGAGAGGCATCTTTGAAGAGGGTGGAATGGATAACTTTGAGCCCTGTCAAAAACGGTAAAGGAAGGCCAAAGAGAATACTTTTGGAAGTTGTTGATCGAGATCTCTTAATTAACAATATTTTTAAAAGCTTACTAAATGATAGAGTACAATGTAATCCATGTAGCCGACCTACTCTAGTAGGATAAGGCATGTTGTTGTTGTAGCATCTAATTTGAGTTGAACTAGAATGCTTTGATGTGTCCACAATGGAGTATTGGTTTGATTTGGGTGCATTTTAAGTATTATTCATAAACTATTACCAAAACATGTGCATTTATGATTTGTTATTGATAATTGATGTTGGCAATTTCCTATTGTGAGTTGCCCCCCGCCCCAACCGCCCCCTCCAAAAAAAAAAAAAGAAAAAGTTCAGTTTTATTTGAGAATTTAACAGCTGTGCTCATGAATCTGTCATGATTTAGCGGTGATAAACACATCCAAGCTGTTTGAACTTTTTTTGCTGCATGTGGTGTGTTTTCTTCATAGTAATTATAGACTAGTTTAAATGTGAAGAACTAAATGGTATATTTTTGATGTAGGAATCCCCTCAAGCTGCTAGAGTGAAAGTGCTGGCCAGTGGGAATGCAACTGAAAGGAGGTTCAGGTGGGATTCATCTATGTGTCAATATTATTGTTGATGTTGTATGGGCCCAAAGGCTATTTTTATAATTAATGTTTTCTACCCTAGTTTAATTAGTGGTTATTGAGTGTTTCTGGGATGAATTGTAATTGTTTATTCAGAGGGAAGCTGAATTTATAAAGTACAAGAGATATGATAATAATATCATATCAGAAAAACAATCTAATGCCTAAAACTATGTTGAAAAGATAATAACGATATAGATAATGATATTAAATCTAGGGTTAAGTTGACTAATGGGCCTAGGACCCATCAGCCTTTTTGCAACACTCCCTTTCAAGCTGGTGAATAGATGTTGATCATTCCCAACTTGTTTATCATCTTTGCAAACTTGGCTCTAGCAAGAGGCTTGGTTATCATATCTGCAACTTGGTTTCCTGAGGGAATATATGCTAGATCTATGATTTTAGTTGCAATTTTTTCTTTGATGAATTGTCTATCAATCTCAACATGCTTAGTACAATCGTGTTGAACAGGATTGTTCGCAATCTTGAGAGCTACCATACTATCACACCACATTTTTATAGGATCTTTCATTTCAACACCAAGTTCCTTCAATAGTTGTACAACCCATATAACTTAACAAATTCGAAGAGCTAGAGCCTTGTATTTAGCTTTTGCAAAGCTTATACATGCGACTGGTTGTTTCTTGCTTCTCCAAATTACCAGATTACCCTACACAAAGGTGCAATATCCTATGGTAGAGCATCTGTCATGAATAGCTCCTGCCCAGTCTGCATTAGTGTAGATTTCTACATCTGTTACACTTTTTGATCCTAGAGTTCTCTTAGTGCCATCTGTATAGATTTCTACACTCTTCTTATTTCCCTTTGAGAAGAGCAGACCTTTTCCAGGTGTAGCCTTTAGATATTTGAGGATTCTATGTACAGCTTTCATATGCTCCTTTTGAGGATTGCTTCCAAACTGGCTTACGACTCCTACTGCAAAGGATATATCAGGCCTTGTATGGGATAAGTCTCTGAGTTTTCCCACCAACTTTTGATATCTTTCTTTATTCATTGTCTTCCCATCAGGTTTCACTTCTAGATTGCAGTTCAGTTCCATTAGAGCATCTGCAGGTCTGACTCCCAACATTCTAGTTTCCTTGAGCAAATCTAGAGTATATTTTCTCTGTGATACATTAATATCCTTTGATGAGCGGGCAATCTCCAGACCTAAGAAATATCTTAGATTTTCAAGGTCTTTAATCTCAAATTCTTCAACCAGTCATTGTTTTAGCTTTAAGATCTCTTTTGCATCATTCCCTGTTAGTACTATATCATCCACATACACAATTAGGATAGTTGTTTTCTGACCAGACGATCAGTCTGACATTGAACATACCTAAATCCCTTTACAACATGTGTAAATCTTTCAAACCAAGCCCTGGGTGACTGCTTTAAGCCATATAATGACTTGTACAATTTACATACTTTACCTGCATTATTTGGACTTCTTAGTCCTAATGGAATCTCCATGTGCACTTCCTCTTCCTAGTTCCTATTTAAGAAAGCATTCTTAACATCTAGCTGGAATAATGGCCAATCTAAATTAACAGTAAGGGAAAGTAGAATTTTTATGGTGTTGAATTTCATCATTGGTGCAAAAGTTTCCTGGTAGTCAATGCCCTAGGTTTAGGTGAAGCCTTTGGCAACTAATTGGGCCTTGTATTTATTGTGGCTATTTATTGTGGCTATCATCAAGATTAAACTTCTTTGTAAGAACCCATTTACTCCCTACAGTTGACTTCCTCTCAGGTAATTCCATAATCTTCCATGTCTGATTTTTATTGATTGCCTTTGGCTCTTCATCAATAGTTGCCTTCCATTTAGGATCAACTATGGCTTCCTCAAAAGTCTTAGGCATATCTTCACTATCCACAGCAGCAACAAAGTTCTTAAATTGAGTGTTGAGTTTGTTATAAGAAACATACTTATTGATGGAGTGTCTAGTACAACTTCTCTTGCCTTTTTTAAGAGCAATAGGCTATTAAAGGTCTTTAGGATTACCCTTAGATTGAGAGTCATGACTTTGCCTTGGAATGACAATGGGGTCCTCATTATTTTTGTGCTGTTCAAATTGATCTATCCTTGACTCATTTAAGTATGGCTCAAAGTTGGGCTCAATGTGGGTAGGTTGAGCTTCAGGTTCCGGGATAGGTAGTTCAAGATTTGGAATGGGTGGTTTTGGTTTAGAGATGGGTATAAAACTAGAGTCAGTGGAGAACGGGTCTAGTGATGTGTGAGGACTCACATTAGGGTTGCTAGTTTGTTTATTTTCGAGATGACCATTATTAGTCACACAGATTAGCTATTCACCATCATTCTCCCCCTTAATGGATAATTTCAGAAAGAAAGGAAGAGATTCAACAAGTGACATTAGTAGTGACATAGAACTTGTGAGTGTTAGGAGAATAACACTTGTACCCTTTTTTGGTAGATGAATACTCTAAAAAAATGCATTTGATGGACCAAGATTCAAATTTGTTGCCTGTATCATGAAAGACGAAAGCAGTGCACCCAAAGACTTTTTTAAGAAGAGAGTTAATTAAATGAGAGTGAGGATAGGATGTCAAGAATAAGTCAAAGAGGTGTTTGGAAGTTGTGAACTTTAGAGGGCATGTGGTTAATAAGGTAAGCAGTTGTAAAGACTGCATCTCCCCAAAATTTATGCGGAAGATTATTACCTAGTAAGAGAGCCCTAGCAACGTTAAGTAAGTGTCTGTTTTTTCACTCAGCCACTTCATTTTGTTGAGGAGAATGCACACAAGAAGTGTGGTGGTGAATCCCATGTTCAGTAAGGAAGGTTCGAAGAGTAGAATTGAGATATTCGGTTCTGTTGTCACTATGAAGAACCTTTATAGAAGTTTGAAATTGAGTTTGAACAAAAGTATGAAAGTTTTTGAAAATAGTGCAAATTTTAGATTTATCATTCATCAAAAAAATCCACGTTAACCGCATATGGTCATCAATAAACAAAACAATTCTCCTAGCCTTAGTGTGAATTTCAATCCATGAGGGACTCGACACATCACTATGGATGAGGGAAACAGGTGTGGAGGGGATATAAGAATGAGCAGGGAAGGGATTGAGAGTTTGTTTAGCAAATTGGCATGTATCGCAATGTAACTTGACTTTATTTAGAGTTGGAAAACAAAATTTTCATATAATTAAAACTAGGATGGCCTAAACGAGAATGCCATAACAGTGTCTTCTTGTAACATAATAGAAAAAAAAAAAAAAGAAACATTTGGAAATAGGGTCAATTGAACAGCATTGACTGACAGGTTGGTCTTCCAGATAGTAGAGCCTATTGCGTTTCTTAGCATTGTCAATCATCCTCCCCGATGCTAAATCTTGAAAAACACGAGAATTGTCAAAGGTGGCAAGGCAAGATAAGTGGTGGGTAATACATGTGACAGATAACAAGCTACATTGGATATTGCAGAATGCAGACATATAAAACATTCTTCAAAAAAGTAAAGTCGGAGATAGCAATAGTGTCGGTTCCCATTACTTGTGCATATGTGTTATTGGCTACTTTTACACAAGTATGCTCATAATGGGGGCTAAACTTAGAAAATAAGTCTCGAAAACCTGTAATGTGGTCATTTGCCCTAGAATCCACCACCCAAATGTTGTTACAATGAGATAGTACCCAATGTAGTCAATAAAGTCTTACTAGCATGGGCCAAGGTAATAGAGGGAGTAGGTTTCTTACTTGTCTCTTCACGAGAATATTCTCCAGAATAAGTTTCATCATAGCAATCTCCTCAGTATTGAGTGTATGATCATAAGTAAGGTGGGCAGTGAACCTTTTGTTGTGACCTTTTTGCTCCCCCCTTGTTATCACCCTTGGGGTTCTTTAAATGATCTGCTTGCCATGAATTTGCCAACCAGTTTCTTGTGTATGAAAATTTTTATTACAATGATCATACTGAAGCGACTTTTTCCATTTGTGGTCCCTTCCTTGATGACCACGAGCCACCATAGTAGAAGTTTCGATACTAAAGAGGAGCAAAGGTAGTATAAGCAAGAAGTTGTAGTAAGACTTTGTGGCTTTCTTCATATTTAATGTTAAATGTGTCTTCAAAAGAAGGTAGAGGTTTCATACCCATAATTATTCCTCAAAGACCTCATAGGAGTCATTGAGGCCAAGGAGAAATTCATAGCACCGCTCCTGTTCAACCACTGACTTGTAGTAGAGAGCATCAACGTAATAAGACCATTGGTGGTGACATAGATCAATATGCTGTCAGAGACGCATAAGAGTAGTGTAATATAAGGTGACCGATTTCTCCCCTTGTGTAAGGGTTTGAAGAGTACGCTTTGCTTGATAAATTGCTATTGTATTTTCCTTGACGGAGTAAGTATTAGGCAGACTCCTAAATTTCCTAGGTCGAGTCAGCAAGGAGATAATTCTCACTTATCTCTGAGTTCATCGAATGAATCAGCCATGTTATCACCATGTTTTCTGTACACCAAGTCTCATACTTGGGATCACTAACTTTTGGTGCTTCTAGGGAACCAGTCAAATAACGTTCCTTATTTCGACGACGTACGAACATAAGGACACCGAGAGTTTCTATGATGAATTGTAATTCTTTATTCAGAGGGAAGCTGAATTTATAAAGTACATGAGATATGATAATAATATCATGTTAGGAAAAATAAAATCTAATTCTTAAAAACATGTTGAAAGGATATTAACAATAAAGATAATGATATTAAATCTAGGGTTAAGTTGACTAATGGGCCTAGGAACCATCAGCCTAGTTTCAACACTCTCCCTCAAGCTAGCAAATAGATGTTGATCATTTCCAACTTGCTTATCATCTCTGCAAACTTGGCTCTAATAAGAGGCTTGGTCATTACATCTGCAACTTGGTTTCTGAGGGAATATATGCCAGATCTATGATTTTAGCTTTAATTTTTTCTTTGATGAAATGTCTATCAATATCAACATGTTTAGTATGATCATGTTGAACAGGATTGTTCGTAATCTTGAGAGCTGCCATACTATCACACTACATTGTTATAGGAGCTTTCATTTCAACACCAAGTTCCTTCAATAGTTGCACAACCTATATACCTTCACAAATCCCAAGAGCTAGAGCCTTGTATTTAGCTTTTGCAGAACTTCTAGATACAATTGGTTGTTTCTTGCTTCTCCAAGTTACCAGAGTACCCCACATAAAGGTGCAATATCCTATAGTAGAGCGTCTGTCATGAATAGCTCCTGCCCAATTTGCATCAGTGTAGATTTCTACATCTATTACACTTTCTGATCCTAGAGTTCTCTTAGTGCCATCTGTATAGATTTCTACACTCTTCTTATTTCCCTTTGAGAAGAGGAGACCTTTTCTAGGTGTAGCCTTTAGATATCTGAGGATTCTATATACAGTTTTCATATGCTCCTTTTGAGGATTGCTTGCAAATTGGCTTGCAACTCCTAGTGCAAAGGATATTACCAAGGGAAAGTTAGTTGTAGAGAGTAAATGGGTTCTTACAAAGTTTAATCCTGACGATAGCCTCAATAAATACAAGGCCCGATTAGTTGCCAAAGGCTTTACCCAAACCTATGGCATTGACTACCAAGAAACTCTTGCACCAATGGTGAAATTTAACACCATAAACATTCTACTTTCTCTTGCTGCTAATTTAGACTGGCCATTATTCCAACTAGATGTTAAAAATGCTTTCTTAAATGGGGACTTGGAAGAGGAAGTGTACATGGAGATTCCATTAGGACTAAGAGGTCTAGATAATGCAGGTAAAGTATGTAAATTGCACAAGTCATTACCAGGGCTTGGTTTGAAAGATTTACTTGTGTTGTAAAGGGATTTGGATATGTTCAATGTTAGATTGATCATACACTCTTTGTAAGACAATCTGGTCAAAAAACAACTATCTTAATTGTGTATGTGGATGATATAGTGCTAACACGGAATGTTACAGAAGCTTCAGTACTAAAAGGAGTAGAGGTAGAAGAAGGAAGCTATACTAGGACTTTGCAGCTTTCTTCATATTTAATCATGTTAAATGTGTCTTCAAGAGAAGGTAGAGGTTTCATGCCCATAATTCGTCCTCGAAGATCCTCATAGGAGTCACTAAGACTAAGGAGAAATTCATAGCATTACTCCCGTTCAACCACCGTCTTGTAGTTGGTAGCATTAGCTTGACAAGACCATTAGTGTACCTCATATAGATCAATATATGCTGCTAGAGATGCATAAGAGTAGTGTAATATAAAGTGACTAATTTCTCCCCTGTGTAAGGGTTTGAAGAGTACGCTTTGCTTGATAAATTGTTGCTGTATTTTCCTTGACAGAATAAGTACACCGGGCAAACTCCCAACTTCCCTGGGCTGAGTTGGCAAGGAGATAATTCTCACTTATCTTTGGGTTCATCGAATGAATCAACCATGTCATCACCATGCTTTTTGCACACAAAGTCTCATACTTGGGGTCGTTAACTCCTGGTGCTTTAAGGGAACCAGTCAAATAACATCCCTTATATCGACAACGTATGAACATAAGGACACTCCTGGACCACTGCAAATAATTATTCCCATTCAATTGATAGGTGAGGAGTAGATGAGAAAGTGAATCACCATTGTTGCCATTGCCTGAGGAAAGGACATTGTCACTGCCATGTTGACCATAGGGATTATTTATGGATTCCCCTTTTGTGTTGAAGGTCTATGGGATACTGCTATTCAAGGCTGCTTTGTAAGTCATAGTAACAGAATATTGAGATGGAACAGAGGAAAGGACAATATCTTTGCTTTGAAGCGTTGAAACAGAGGACTTCTCGATAGAAATAGATGAGAGGGGTGCGGTTCAATGTTGGACCTAGAAGATTGAGATGTGTTCTTATGTCTGGGTAGAACGTTGCAGGTTGTGGCTTGAACAAACGAGCAAACAAGGTCGCACTACTTGAGCAGTGCAAAACCGTGACGTATGACCTGAATTAGGGAGAGGATCTTCGAGATGTTGCGCACAACTTGAGAGAATAAAGGTGCACGATGCTTTGCACAACTTGAGAGGACAGAGACGCACATTGAGACACCTTGCATTTGAAGAATAAAGTCACACAGAGTTGCATGCTTCTTAGGATGAAGTCGCATGGGCGAAAGTAATTTAGGTATAGGTTGACTGCGGCTCTGATACCATGAGAGTTTTTGTGATGAATCGTAATTCTTTATTTAGAGGGAAGCTAAATTTATACAGTACACATGAGATATGATAGTAATATCATGTCAAGAAAAATAAAATCTAATCCTTAAAAACATGCTGGAAGGATAATAACGATAAAGATAATGATGTTAAATGGGGGTTAAGTTGACTAATGGGCTTAGGACCCATCAGCTCACTTTCAACAGACGCTCTTGGACCACTGCAAATAATTATTCCCATTCAGTCGATAGGTGAGAAGTAGAGGAGAGTGAATCAACATTGCTACCACCGCCTGAGGAAAGGACGCTTTCACTGCCACATTGACTAGAGGGATTATTTGTGGATTCCCCTTTTGTGTTGAAGGTTTGTGGGTTACCATTCAAGGCTGCTTTGTAGGCCATAACAATAAAAACATAGTATTGAGACGAAACAGAGGAAAGGACGCTGTCTCTACTTTGAAGGGCTGAAACAGAGGTACTTCTCAATAGAAACAGATGAGAGAGGCGCGATTCAGTGTTGGGCCTAGAGATTGAGACGTGTTCTTGCATTTGGGTAGAACATCACAGGTTGCGACTGCAACAAAAGAGCAAACAAGGTCGCGCTACTTGATCAGTGTAGAACCGTGACATACGACTTGAGCAAGGGAGAGGATCCTTGCAGGACTGGAGCATGACTTGAGAGGACAAAGACGCATGCTGAAAACATCTTGCGTCTAAAGAACAAAGCTGCATTGACTTGCGCACTTCTCAGGACAAAGTTGCATGAGCGACAGGAATTTAGGTATAGGCTGACTGTGGCTCTAATACCATGAGTGTTTCTGTGATGAATGTAATTGTTTATTCAGAGGAAAGCTGAATTTATAAAGTACAAGAGATATGATAATAATATCATATCAGAAAAATAAAATCTAATCCCTAAAACTATGCTGAAAAGATAATAACAATAAAGATAATGATATTAAATCTAGGATTAAGTTGACTAATGGGCCTAGGACCCATCAGCCCCCTTTCAACAGTTATTTTTGCTGATAGGGATATAGGTTGATTTTATTTCCTGATATGATTTGCCTTGTGTATCTCAGCCATCTCCTAGATTACCTAGGCTTTGTGCTTCTCTATAAATGTTCGTTTCTTCCTCTGTAATAATAGAGGTTTCTGGCATCATACTTCTTCAATTGTTAGTTATAGCTTTTGGTCATTGTTGACGTAGTTTCTGTTCCCATAATCTTTGATATTTGTAGGTCCAAAAAAATATGTATCAATATATTCTGTTAACGACTTTAATGAGTGCTAATGAAAGTGGGCCAGATTAAATGCTTCTTGTGATTGCTTGTCCAAAAAAATGTCCTCTTCCTCATGGTGGTGAATTATGCAGCGTTTGGATAGGTGGAAGCATATTGGCTTCTCTTGGCTCCTTCCAACAAATGTGGTTCTCCAAGACTGAGTAAGTATCAATTATTTGTCAAAGGTTGTATGATAAATTTTAAATCTTGAAGTTTAGTTTAAAATATGTTCGAAATTTTTTTCTCTCATTCCTATTGCTCCCCATCCCCTTCCCTGTATATTGGAGTTAGTAAACCTATGTTGGCCCTTCAAATATACATCACTATTGTTTTTCCTGGCCAGTGCTTTGCAGATTTTGTGTTCCTATTGTAGCTGAGAGTGATAACATTGTTCTAATTCCATTCCTATGGGGGCTTCATAGGGACTTCATTGATAATAAATAAATAAATGAATGAATGAATAAACTGTGGACAACCTTCTACCAGAAAACAGAAGACCAACTGTCAAGTTCGGCCTTCAAATCTTTCCATTGAATTTAAGTAGAAACTATTTAATAAGCTTAAATACACTTTGGATCCCTTTACATTGGTTTAGTTTATGAGGGGAAGGTTTCTTAGTCATACTCGCATGAAATTGATAGTCAGTGCTACCTTTTATCCATTTGCAATTGATAGCTATTCAGGGCTTAGGCTTCCTAATTTTGCCATATAGCTTTTCTGTACTAAATTTAAGCGTGCAATTGATAGGTATGAAGAGCATGGAGCTTCTTATATCCAAAGAAAATGCCCGTGAGTTGCTATTGATATGTATAGAGGTTTGTTATTCGGCCATTGGTGATCTAGATGAGTTAAGGAGGACGTCTCCCTGACTGTTGTCTCTCTGCGATTAGTTTCGTCTCTTATCGTTAAACCTTTCCGTTGGTTCTTTCACTAACAACAGTACTTGGCCTTCCCATGCTCCATAGCTTAGCTGTATCTGTAATCTATGCTCTGATGTAACTGTTCTTTATAGTTTATAGTCTACTTAACAATACATACTGATTTGTCTCTTTTGGGTCAAACTGGTTTCCTTTTTTCTTGTGGTTTGAGGCGCAGCATTAACTATAATTTAGATGATTAGTTTGTAATGACACATTAGGCTTTAGTTCTTTGATAATTTGTTCTGGTTGCATGTTGTCAGAGTTGTATAATACTCATTCAACCTCTATTTATTTGGTTCCTGTCGTTTATATGCCTCTTGCTTTTTTTAGTTCTTCATTGCCATGCAGTAGAGTAGATGAAGGATTTGCTGTGTGCTCACGCGTCACTTGGCTTCATAACTTATCATCGGTAATATGATAAATGGAATGTGTGAACTGATTCCAAGTTCATTGATCGAGTCATTCACTTCATTATTAGGTTTGATACAAGGCATTACCAATTGGGTTACATGAAGTTGGAAAATGAGATTTATTGTTGGGTGTATTGATTTTTCCCTTTTTTTTTTTTTCTAGGGAGAATCACATTCAAGGACTACTCAGGTAAATTATTTGCAGACAATAATTAATATGGAATGTATTGTTAAAATGGAAGCATGAACTTTCTTTTTTGGAATGGAACTTGTTAGCCCTTGTCTGCAATTAATGTGCTTAAATGATCTTTGAATGTGATTCTCCCCCAGAACAAATTATACAGAACTGAAATGTGTCCCAAGAAATGTCAGCAGCTAAGCTATAATGGAGGCTTTTGTCAGAACCAAGCAATCAAGCTCCGTTTGATGGGCTTTTTTTGAAACGAGATAATGTGTACTTTTTTTTTTTTAATCCCATTTAATTGTGTTGACAGCTTCCATATAGCAGATGGAGAAAGGCCTTTTTTGGTTGACCTTTTGGGTACCCAAAACTAAGGTTGCCAAACCTAAAAATCTGAGGTAAAATTATTTGGGAAAGTTTAATAGCTTTTGGTCCCAAAATCAAGGTTGCCTCTGAAACTAGTTTACCCAAAAGCTGGTAGGAGGCAAAATTTCTTATTTGTTATATATTCGCTAAATTCACTTTTTTCTTAAACAGTGTACAGTGACAAATCATATTGCACTTCAACTTTAGTTTGCAAATTAAACACTTTCCTGGGGGATCAAGTAGTTTGATCTAGAAGGTGAGTAGGCCCCAAATCTTGATTCTCAAATATGACACTTTATGAAGAAAGAAATTATGAAAATAAACACTGAAAAAGGCTTCTTGATGTTGAAAATACTTGCGCGAGGATGTAGAGGTGTAGTAGGAAAAGTAGCATTAGAGGATTAAGATCCTAGTATGCCTCATCTTAGTTTCAATGTTGCAGGTCTTCATTGCAGGGCCTTTGGCATGTGAAACTAGAGACTTTATCCACTCTTGATTCTTCACCCAAAGCTCTTCAAGAAAGCTATTCCATACTTTTAACACGTTCAACTCAACTCGTCGTTGGGTGGCTGGCAAGCTGACGAGCTAGCTTGTCTTTTATTTATTTATTTATTTATTTCCCCTCATTTTTAAATATTTTTATTTTCAAATTAAGGTATTAACTTGAATACATCAAATTCTTGTAATATGTATCCATAAATTTTGTGATCAAATTAACTTCAAAACTTTCAACTTAAGCCTTGTAGACCATTGTATATATTTGTTCTAATCTCCTAATCATAAGTCGCAATAAATCAATCATATAAATTAAATGGAGTACCTTTAAAAAAAAAAGGGAGGCTATATCAACCCGCCATTTTTTTTTTTTGATTTTGACAAACCCTAACTTATTTTTCTTGCTATAGTCCTTGTATAAAAACTCCCTTGTGAATTGCAATTCAAATTTTAGTTTCAAAATTTGAATAATGAATTCATAAATGTCCTAATAACTAATTACTTAATTATTATTGGCCTCTTCTGAAAAATATAAGCTCATCAATGTGGGGTCCAAGATCCAATCATTATTAGATTTGCCATAAATAATTCAAATGTATTTTCACAATTATCGAGTGTGGTAGAAATCACTGTAGTAACAGTTACTTTTCACAACTAGTGGAAATTGGATAGGGAAAATTGCCATAAAATCCCTCCTTGGGAGTGAAATTTTTTAGAGGGACTAAGATCAATTTAAGGACCAATTTATGCACACCAGGTCTATCACCTTGCACATCAAATCTATTATCTTACAAACTAAGTCTATCACCTTGCACTTTGTACACCAAGCTTATGACATTGCACTCCAATCATATCACCTAGCATCGTGCACATCAATCTTATCACCTTGCACATTAAGCATATGACCTTACACTTCAAGCCTATTACCTTACACATCAAGTCTATCATCTTGCAAACTAAGTCTATTGCCTTACGCTTTGTACATCAAGCCTATCACCTTGCATCCCAAGCCTATTACCTAGCACCTTGCATGCCAATTCGATCACTTTGCACCCCAAGCCTATCACCTTGAACAACAAAGTTACATGTACCTGGTCAAAACATCTTCGGTGCTCGAGATGGACCCGACTAAAGGTACAGAGCCCAAACTTAGATTATAGCTCTCCTCCTTAAAGAACTCAACAAGGAGGCTAAGATGGGTATTGTGGCATGCAAAAGAAACTAATGGATGGGGTAGATTTGATCCAAAAGATCAAAGCATGGGATTATTTTTATTATCATAAGAATTATCATCCAACCAATGAGAAGGTGCCACATATGGACATGTGCACAAAGTGTGAAGCTTTCTAGCCTTTTTAATTTCATTTTAGAATTATTTTTTGGAGAGAATCAGACTGAGAAACACACCATTTAGTTTCTTTCATTAAACATTCAGATCATTTTGATTTTTCATTCATCATCTTCATTTCATCTTTCACTTTGTTTCTTTAGTTTATAATGTTATTCATTTATCTCTTTTCTCTCTCTACACACCTAAACCCTAACTCATCATCCAACCATTAGATCTTCACAAAACATATACCATTCTTCTCCTCTCATCAAATCCTACTCATACATACCATTTGATCATTCATCCAAGGCCCAAATCTCCACTTGGAAGCATGATGAATCTTGGCTAAACTATGTGTGTGTTTAGTTTTTAGTTTGTCAAAAGTCAGTTTGATGAAAGTTTATTTGACAAAAGTCAAGTTAGTGAAAGTCAGTTGTAACGAAATTTGTATTTGGATACATTTTTTCAAAAGTTAGTTTGACAAACTGAAAGTTGTTTGGATTAATAAAAATTTATTCTTTTGAAATGTATTTTTTAATATGTAATGACCAAAAAGGACATTAATTTTTATTATACAAATATACTATATTAGCAATGTTTAAAAATGTGAAACAAATTTAAAATAACATAAAATTTAAAATGTTAAATAATAAGAAAAAAATATAAAATTTAATTTTGGAAAAAATTATGTAATAAATAGTTAAACATTCATTAATATTAAACATTTACATTATTAATAGTTTGATCTATAATATACAATCTGATCTCTAATAGAATTTCAAACTCTATTCATCTCTCTATCAGAAGCTATGCTTAAAATTGCACTTGGAATTATTGTTAAAAATACATGTTCGTTATTATTATCGTTAGTATTAACCATATTTTCATCCTCAAAATGCCTAAAGTCAGAATCAATTGTAGATCTTCTTCTAATAAAATTATGTATAGCCATTGTTGCACCAATGATACAAACTTGCATCACAAATAGATAGCTAGGCATGTGTCATAAGATTGTAATTTGTTTTTTCAAATCCCAAAAGTCCTTTCAATCGTGGTCCTTAAGCTTGAATGATAATAATTGAAAACCTTATTATTGTTTGCAAATCTGGATGAACGCCTGAAATTTGGGAGGTGGTACCTATGAGATTTATAAGGATCTAAATATCCACATGGCATTGGATAGTCGGCATCTAACAAATAATATTTACCTACCAATAAAAAAATAGAAATTGTAAGATCCCAAAAAATATTGAAAAAATTATTTTAAATTAGATAAATATGAAATATACCTTGGGTGGATGTGGAAATTTCATGTTGGCCTTGTGAGTGCATAGTCAAACAAACGAGCATCATGGGCAGTCTCTTGCCATTCAGCCATGACATAAATGAAGTACATATCTCAATTACATGCAGCCATTATATTTTGTATTGGAATACCTTTCCTTCAAATATATTTCCCTTGTTCTTCAACATTGACCACACATGGGATATGTGTTTCATTAATTGCTCTTATAACATCTTTAAAGAATAGCCAATATTGCGGATCACTAAAAATTTTTGAATGAATATCTTGAAAAGTACGATCTTTTGGTTAGATATATTCGTTTGCTAGCTTCTTACAAGCATGCAATACATTTCTAAAATGTTTGTGACTAGTCTCTGCTGAATGTTGAAATCATTCTTATGCCATCCTATTCCCCACCCCATGTCCAACAATATTTAGGAACATACCGACCATTTCATGAATCCCTGTTCTTTTAGTTAGACACAAACCATATTGCATCAGTTCATCATAAAGTTGAAAAAAAAACATCTTTCTCGATGTGAAATATGTCATAACAATGCTGAGGATGCCCTTGCAAAATTCCTTGCACCTATACATGACTTGATTGTGAATTGGTTCTACAAGGGTCCTTCAATAAAGTAGTTGAGTAATTAGATACTATTGTAATAATAGCCTCAACCTCATCATCTTCCGTATGTATAAGTAATTGTAATAAGTGAGATTGTGTATTGTCATCCATAAAAACTGCATAGCATAATTAAACAACCATTACACCATTGTCCATGACTTAACATAAGAAACACATAAAACAAGAGTCAAATAACATAGTCAATTTCAAAACAAAGTTAAGAACATGAACAGCACTAGCTAGATTTAAAACACTGAGACGGCAAGCTAGGATTGATCTAATATGCTTTTTTGCCCAAGCAATTCAAATAGGGCACTAATGCTCTTTTGTTGTCCCTAAGCCCAATATACAAGTCCCTTGCAATCTTATCTAGCAAGGCCACAACACACTATCCAAGAAGTGCCTCATCACAAGAAATCTCCTCGATTCTATAAAGTTTTTTTGCAACATCCACCATATTTTGATCAATTTGTTTTGTTCTACCCTTTATGGAATTAAGAATTGACTTTAATGTTGAAACCCTATCCTCTTATGTGGACACCAATCGACTCACTGAATCAACCATCATAGTTGCAAGACGTTTTCCCTTCTTGTTTTGACCACTTTCACCTCTCTCTTGCTTGCTCCCTGAATTAGTACCATCACTGTATGCATTATTCAAGTTAACCTACCTAATTTTTGAGAGAGCTCCTCCACTAATGTTTCTCACATCATCACTGTCTCCTGATCCTTTGGTCAGATCCAATTGAGGGTTATACACATCTTGTGGATTATCAGCCGTAGATGTCCAGATGTAAGTGCCTCATGCTGCAATTGGCTAAAACAACTGAGTCAATTCTTGTACATATGGAAGTGGTTTATGTCTGAATTTCCTATACTCAAGATTCTCTTGCACATTTACAAGAATTGAGTTTAGTATATTTACAAAATAAAGCATCATATATATAGCATGCCATAAATAATTATATCCCTTAATCTTTTGATTCCACCACTCCTCCGGTGTTGATACAATATTCTTTTCGCTATCCCATCCCAAACTCGTTTCTTTGTTTAACGGTTTATCCCATATATTCTAGTCTTTCCTCAAATTGTTCCATTTGTTCTTCAACTGCTTCTTATCATAGCTTTTAGAGCTCAATGTATTGAACTATTGCATTAGTGCCTCCCAACCTTCCTTTGATAAGGTAGAGCCTTTACGTTCATTTTTCCTAACTTGCTGGAGAGCTAATTTAATGAACAATTCAATTTCTTTGGTAGTCCATAGTGCCTTCTCTTTACTCATTTTTACTATCAAAATATCATATTCTCAATAATTAAGTTGAAAGAGCTAAAAATTTTATACATAATATACATTATGAAATAAAATTGGCATTATATTAATTTACATAGAGCCCACTTACCATTTAAGGAGTGAGCTCATTTCCAAATTTTGTCTATCTCATATATATATATATATATATATATTTGGCATGACATTTAACTAGAGGTTCTTTGAGATATATAATCTCACCATTTGGTCTATGAGCTTTCCTAGCTAATTTAAGGATTGACACTCCCTTACCCTTTAATTGGAATAAGCATGGGCAACGAGGTTCTACTAAAAATGGTATGCTGCAACTGCGAAATTATATATCTTAAAGAACATGAAGGCAAAAAAAAAAAAACTCTGGGTCTACGAAGAACATGGTCACCACTGAACAGAGCAGATAAAAAATACACACCAAATCCACCACATTATGCTTCATTTTCGTCTATTACCGCAAAATAGAGGACCTTCATTTCTAGATCTAATAAAACATGTTTATAGGCTATCACACCTTGCAGATCGAAGAAGCAGGCTAGAGTTCATAGAGCTGGTTTGAAGGTTCAGTTTTGCACTCTACAGGTTGCAAATCTAAGTGTATTAAGTTCTCTCAGCTTCACAATGTCGTTTAAGTCCTAAAATGAGCTCGATTTGTGAACAACTGAAGGTGGAAATGAAGAAATGAGGTAGAGTAATAGTGAAACTGATGACGAAGGAAGAGATGAGGAGCTCGAGGAAGTGAAGAGATGAGGAGCTCCAAATCTGTGACTAGACGGCGGAGGAGAGATGGGGGGAGAAGGAGGAGTAACTGATGAGTGATAGACGATCAACCAGTGAGTGAGGGACAAGCAAGCGAGTGAGTGACCAAGAGAATATGCAGAATGAAAGAGAGGCCAGTGTCGGTTGCACGTGAAGAAGGAGAAAATGAGGGTATCATGGTCTTTTACAATATTAGGTACCAATCATTGATGCTCACATTGTCTGATTTGTGTTTAAAAAGCTCCCAAAAGTTGCTTCCTATTTTTTCAATTTCATACCCATTTAAAAGCCCTTTTAAAAAGCACATTTCATCTCAAAAATATATCTTAAAACAACATCCCATATCCCAAAAGTTAAAAACCACATTTGGGATGTGAAAAGTGAGCTTACCAAAAGTACCCTAAGAAGATGAGAAAGACTTCCATGGAGCTTGAAGGTCTTAACACTCATAGTTTCTAGAGGGAGAATGAGGGAGAAGGAGCCACCATTTTAGACCTGCACCTTTTGCTAAGGGTTACTTTGACCTAGCTCTTCCATTTAACTTCACTTTGTTTTTCTAAATTTAGGCCACATTGTGATTGGCTTGAACTCTAATTGGAGTAGACCTTGTTATAATGGAAGATGTATTGTTTGAATCTTTCTTATGGTTTTGACTTTCTTCTCAATGCTACCATGTTGATGAATTACATAATTTTTTAGTTCATTCATGTGAATTTGTTTGGAATTAGTTTTGCATAATTTTGTGGATTAATTTCTAGCCTTGTTCTTGCATTACATAATCTTGTAGTGCTTGAGTGTTTAGAGAAAGAGAGGGCCGTGACCTATGGGTGATTAAAACACACTAGGAATCTTCATTATGGATGATGCATGTGAATTAGTTGTTTGATTAAGGATTAAGTTTAAGTCATTAGCTAAAGCCAACTAGGTTAAACTAAATTTAGTTGTACTTTTGACTAGTGAGGGTGCAATTCTTAGTTAATGACTTAAGTTGCAAAGAATTCTCCCTAATTCAAGCTTTATGAACTTGTCCATTCGCATTTGATTCTCAAAAACTTTTGCTCTACCCCTAGTTTGTTCTCTTTAATTCATCAGCTCTAGTGATCGAATTGAACTCTACAAATTTGGAAAATTTAACCTAATCCACTTGAACAACTTCCATAATTGAACAAGTGGACACTTTTATTGGGAGATGACCTAGGTTGACCTGAACTACATTAGGGTTAGCTTAGTTTTTAGTTTGAGAGGCAAGCAACTACTCCTATCAACCCTTTAATTGGGATTGAAAACGGAAAAAATGAGGGAAATGTGCTAAAAACGGGAGTAAAAAGGAAATAAGATGTAAAAAGGACTTTGGTTGGCATTATGTTGAAAACCAACATAAATTGTGTTAGTAAAATCTAGAAATGGGACTACAAGGTATCAGAACCTTGCAAATCGTGTCCCTAGATGCGGACAAATCCCCTCAATACAAATATGAAGTTTCTTCCCTATAGAGATCCTAGATTTTCGTAATCAAAGAAAAAAAAAATTCATAAATTAAACTTAGCTTTGATGGTATTTCATGAGGAAGATTATCCACTGCTTGCTTACACTTCAAAGGCTTATATATACAAACACATAGACTATGTACTAGGATATTCTCTCATTTGGCTATGCTACCCAAGACTTAAAGGTAGCGTGAGGGAAAGAGAAACGAAAAGAACCATACGAATATAGTGTAATGTCCTTTCGTAATCCACACTTGTGAACAATCGATACACTACCATATTGAAAAGAACCATACAAATATAGTGTAATGTCCTATAGTAATCCACACTCATGAACAATTGATACACTACCATATTGATTATAGAAGACAAGTAATAATAATGACAGACGACCATGGTAGAAAATTGTGTAACCATAGTTAAAGTAAGCCAACCATAGTAGAAGAGAACTAAACCACGATTAAAGTCTACTATGGTTGGAAAGAGTTTGACTTACATAAAATAATATTTAAGAAATTACCCTATGCTACTAGAGTAGAAAAGAGTGTATTATAATAGGAAGAAAGAAAATAAGATAGTAGAACACCTACAATAGTAGACAAGGGACAAACTAGATATAAATTGGCCTGCTATGGTATCAATGCACATATGACGCGACGGAGCGCAAATCCTTCAGAACAGATGACACATTGGTCATCTGCTGCAGCTAAGCGCGCAAGCGCCATGGCAGGTATTCTCAGCGTCACGTGTAATATCCAAAAGCTTTCTGATTTTATCTTCTTTCAAGTTATTCACATAAGTCTGATGTTAAGCATTGTGGAATGTTGATCTGTCAACCTTTGGCACTAACATCATCGGTTCTGGAATACATACCAATAGTTTGATAACTAGTTTATATAAACTGGAGGAGCTTCATTCTAACTACATTTTGGCATTCAACTTTTGTTGCGCACGCGCAAACACTCTCTCTCTCTCCTTTCCACACAGATCCTCTCTCGCTATTAATATCTTTTTCCCTTGAGTTGTTATATATTCTCACTTTCCGTTAACTTTAGTGCATTTTCATTTAGTTCAAAACAATCAGTTTTTAACACTAAAACATAGTTTTGTAAAAATATATCCAAACACCTATATTATATATCAAAATTAATTATAAACCTAACATTATGGTTTTTTGAAATTATTCAAGCAACCCTTTAATCACTTTGTCAATGCATGGTTTCACAACATTGCATGCAATGACAAGGCATAACTTGCTAGTAAATTCACCAAATTTTGTAATAACACTTTTGTGATATCATTAATCCATGATGAATTAAAAAAAATAAGAGGGCTGATATGTTATCTGAAGGACTGTAGTCTCATTTATATTATGGCGATTTCAAAGTTTCAAGTACCATTAATTGATGTACAATTCATACTTCTTAAATAAATTACATCATCAAAACAAAAACAAGCACAACCAATGCAATATCTCATGGGATTGACAACAAATGATCTAGAAAGTGAATTGCAGCATTATAGGAAGAACCACCTTGGGTCACAGCTTGCCTGAGCTTATGCTTCATTCGTTGCGCATTCTGCCACATTTCCATCCCTTGTGACTCTAGCATTAGTGTTCTCACAACTTTTTCCACCTCTCCCCTTTCCGACACGTGGCTTGACCATTCTACACCCACCTTCCATGCATGGCAGGCTAGCCTTGAATTCACCCTCTGATCTCCAAAACAAGGTTGGCATATCATTGGCTTTCCTTCGTATACACTCTCCAGCATCGAATTCCACCCACAGTGACTCCAAAACCCTCCCACTGATTTGTGTGCTAGAACTTCCTTTTGGGGTGCCCATCTCACCATCCAGCCTCTTTCTTCAATCGCTTTTTTAACATCCTCAGGCAATGATTGAACCCACTCCGTCACGTTTATGGCCCTCGCTAGAACGACCCACAAAAATTTCTGGTTACTATTGGCTAGCCCATAAGCCATCTCTGTTAGTTCTTTTTCTTCCCATGTTATTATGCTTCCCAGACTCACGTACACCACTGATCTTAGAGCTTGCTCGTTTAACCACGCTATGCAGCTATGATCCTGTTCTAGAATGCTAGAGCATGATTCTGGAGCCATGCTATGAAAAGGGCCCATGGTGAACATTGGGACATGGTATATTTGCCTAAGCTCATCAACACGTTGCCCTTCAAGGCAATCCACTGTATTGAAGATAACACCTAAAGATGACTTTATACCAAGCTGCAACCTGTTCATTTGATTTAGCAACGTATCTACATTTGTGGAAATGAAAGTAGGCAAATCTTTATGTCGCAATGGCTCCAGTTCTGGCACCAAGCTTTCACCTGCATTTAAACACATTTCATTCATTTACTTTACAAGCAAAATTTGAGCCGAATATATCTGAATTTTGTCTTACTTCTCTCATAAATTCTATTCGAAAAAATAATGTATTAATTATATTTCTTGTCATTTAGGCTCTTCAACACTTTATCCTGCTTGTTTGGAAAAAACTTCAAACTCAGATTTCAAAGTTAGATTATCTGCTAAAATAAAATCAACTTCATTTCATATCATTAAGTCTTACTTTTATAATTTTTGTGTGCAGTTTGTCTTTGGACCTAACAATATTTTTAATTATCTACATAATATTAAAGGAAAAAGGAATGTAATAATAACAGCAATGATAATAACAAATGTACTCGAATAATAAAAAAAAAACAATAATAAACATACAAAAATATGAGTAAGTATGCAACGACAAAAGATCACAAAAAATATAATTTTAGACTTTTAATAAATCTTTTGGATTAAAAAATTTAAAGGACACCTAAAAGAAACTAATATGTAACAAGAACCCTAGATCAGTCGTTAATTTGTTATTGTTTACTTGTTAGCAATCCTTCTAAGAAACTAAATTTCTTCCGCAGTCCTATATTGATATTCTCCCAATAATATATATCATATTCTTCGTGTTATTTTCAGATGTGAATGCTAATCTATTGCTCAACCTCTTGTTTCTTTTACAAAATCTAAATTCTGTTCTGCTTGCAAAATCGGCATAGTTTTTTTTTTTTTTTCAATTTCTCCATATTTTAACTAGTTCTTTTAGTTCTTGACCGTTTCCTTCAATTCAACATCACTGGCTTCTACCAGACCGTACCATATGTTGGCTTCCGGTGGGGCTTGTCCAACCGATCATCTTTTAAAAACTTATGAATATATCATCATGCAAAAATGTAAATAATATGAAAAGGAACAGATTAATTTTCATGAGAATACCTTGTAGAGGAAGGCAACCTTCCATGAGTAGGCGATGGAGGGAATGATATGCCAGTACATTAGGAGCACTAGTGGTTCGAAGGAGAATAGTAGGGGGGTTGAGTTGTTGAGCCACATAACCAACAAAATACATTGAGCCATCATAGATTATGCAAGCAATGTTTTGAGCTTCTTCAGTTAACTGGAGCAATAACTCCTTAAAAGGAGCAGCGCAATTGGTGTAAAGAGCTGAAGCAATTGTTGTAAGGTTATAAGAGGAGATTATGGAATCTTCATGAGATAAGCCATCAGAGAATGGGATAAATAAAAAATGAGGGTGAGCGGAAGGATTTGGAGAATTGAAAAGGGTGTGAGCTACGATGATGGAGAAGCCATTAGAATGAAGAATGGATGCTTATTTGAAGCATTGGGGTTAAGTGACCTTGAAAAGGGGCTGGTACCACTACCAATCTTTGTCTATTCTCTAGTCTCTGCTTTTCCATCCCAACTTGATCTGCTACAACTACAAGAGGTTTAGGGCTTTCTGCCAGGAACACATTTATAGTTTGTCAATACACTTAGTTTTGGCAGTATGGAGGTAAATCACGAGCTGCTAAGTCATGCTGGAGGACACTGTCCTTGAGAACTATTTCGGCACACTGGTATAGTGGACTGGTAGTTCCCAACAAGCACTTCTTGTAGGAGCAAGGCACCAGAACAGCAGAACTAAAAACAAACTCAAATGAATAACACGAACATAGCAGAAGTTGGAGGGAGGAGAGAAATGCCCCGAAAGCTCACGAGACTGGTGAGTTGTTTTGTCCGCACCCATGGCTATATATAGGCCAAGGTAGAGACATGAACATTGGCAGATTCGATCACACACACATAAATGCCATTAACCTGGAGCCATTGGTAGATAAGGGCGTTTAAGAAATTAATTAACAAAATCAGTTTTGACTCAGAAATTGTCGAGGCTTAGATTCAAATTTAAAAGAGTGAAAATTCGAGGTTAAAAATAAATAAATAATTATTTAATTTTTTGTAAAAATAATCCGGTAAAAAAACCCAATATCTCTTGAACTTGGGCATAGAGGGGCAAATCAATTGATTTCAATTGCAATTGTCTTGAATTGGCTCATTTCATGCACACACGCCCACTTTTCCTTCAAGCCCATTTTAGTAACTCATTTCATTCTTTAGTATTTATACATTAGGAGCATTTTTCATTTAGGCAATGTGAGACATTTGACACACTTATTTGCAAATAACGTAATTTCTCAGGTTCCAAATATAAATTTTTTGGTGGCCTTCATTATTTCCTCCATTTGTCCATTTACTTACTTTCCCATGCCAATGAACATCGCAATAACACGGAGCCAAATGTATTTAAATTTCTTGATGCATCTTCATTTTCCTCCCGAGAATGATCAAATCATTTTATTTGCTAGATATATTTGATCCCCTCAATTTCTTTACTAAATGTTTTCCTCGATATGGTTCATTGCTTCTTCAAGAAAGTCATGATTGGCGTGATTGCAAGGTTATCTTTGTGTACCTATCCTCTTCGTCACTAATGCGCTAATATAATCTCCATTGTCGTTTCTATATTCGGCTTTATTCACTTGTCTTTTGCGTAGTTATATTTAACATAAGCGAAGGTATTTTAAAGATATGCTTGGTGCACACCAACGAATTTGTCTGTCAGTTTGTTAGTTCTATATGTCGCATGTTTATTTATTTATCAATTTATCATTTCTTCTCTTTTATAGCCATATACACGCATCAAGTATGTGGTCTTCTCCCTTTTCTTACTTTTAATATTTGTTATTTATAATAGAATCACGTGATTATTATTCACATATGGTCTGCATTTCCTCCTCATTAGTCTGACGTTTTCAGTACTAATTACATAATTTGATTTTACAGGTTAATGATCTATATATATATATATATATATATATATATATATAACAATCATATCTATAATGATGACAAGTGTCCATTTTTTTCATTCCTACAATTTTATGCAGCCGCGTAGGATTTAATTTTTATATTTGTTTTTAATCTTTTTACTAAGTTTTTTTATAATATAACTTCTCTCCCATGATCTTAAAATCTCAAATATAATTTTTCAATTAATTCACAATTTAAAATATTAAATATATATATATATATAATAATATATATTCTAATACAAAATTATTATTTTGAAAACTGACAAAAACTGTTTTTTCCTTATCCTTGATATTTTTTCCCATGATCTCAAATATAACTTCCCAAATTATAATTTAATTTTTAAAAATGTAATTTTATTCATTCAATATATCTTTTATCCACAAATCTTTATAAATTATATCAATCCACGTCATGACTTGAAGAAAAATTTTATGAGTAAATGTAATTTTTCTCCACATAAACTAATGAATTAACAAATCACTCATGAAGCATCCCTTTTGCCATGTGTGATCAGCTTATGGCTATATATACCTCTCGTGTCAGTTTTTCCATTTCACGCGTGATCTAACATTCTAAAAACTAACCGTTACACTCTCAATCTCTCTTAATTGCCTCTTGATTCTTCTCTAGCCGTTATAGTGTTTGAATTCAATTACCTATCTTTCTTATACACTATTTCATACCTTAGATACATCCAAGCACTTCTTAATCCTCAACCTAATCTTTCTTTCCTATCATTCTGAGATGGCCTATACCAAAAACATTGGAAAGAAACAAAGCATAGGGGTGACCAAGAAGTGAAAACTTATTGAAACCTTAATTCAAGAAGGCAGCAAATCACTAGGCCAATCATCTAAACGGAGCAAAACTCCAAGAATTACAAGAGAGTTTGCCACATCATCTGAATTGGCATCATTCAGCCAGCAAGAAGGTGCACTAATAAGGCTGGGAAGAGAGTTATCCAAGCACTAGTACAAAATATGAAATTTAAAGGGTACTTTCTACATTGGTTGAAAGGCAAACGATGTAGAAAGTTAAGGCAGTGGCATTTTTATAATTTTAGCAACGCATATTATAGCTTTTACACCGGGTGAAAAGGCAACTGCTGTTAAAAATACTTTCTACAGCGGGTGTCTATGCACCTGTTGTAGAAAATAGCATTTCTGCAGCGGGTACCTGCTATAGAAATATCGATTTTCTATAGCGGGTACTTTGTAACCACTGTAGAAACACGATTTTCTATTTCTACAGCGGGTACCCGCTGTAGAAATATCAATTTTCTATAACGGGTACTTTGTAACCACTATAGAAACACAATTTTCTACAACAAGTGCTGTGTACCCACTATAGAAGGCTTATTTTCTACAGCGGGTGCCTCTCACCCGCTATAGAAAACCACTTTCTACTGGGAGTGAATAGTGACCCACTATAGAATGTGGTTCAAATTTTTTTTCTTTTCAACTCTGTGTGTCTCCTCCCTCATTTCCTCTTGTTTACGCCTTCAGAACACTCATTCCTTCTCTCCCTTAACCCCACCCCCTCCCCCTCGTCCCCTTCAGCCCCATCCCCTTCCCCATAGCCCCTTGTCCCTAAACCAGTCCCCTCGCTCCCGGTCCTCACCCCCTTCAGCCCCCAGCCCCCGTCTCCCTATCCCCGCCCCTCGTCCCCCTCACCCTAGCCCCTCGTCCCCACCCCTCTCAGCCCTCACCCCCCATCCCCACCCCGTCCCTCTCCCCTTCGGCCCCACCCCCTGTCCCCACCTGTATCCCCCATACTTATACTGCTCCCCTTACGACTGCCCCTCCCCTCCTTTGCTGCCATTCCCTTCGCATTTCCCTCCCCCTGCCTCTACCGTTTCTTCCTCCTCCTCCTCCTACCGCTTGCTCCTTCTCTTATTACTACCTCCACTCTTGATTGATTAGGTATGGCTCTTAATTTTTGTAAAGATAATTTTTTATTTAATTGTATTTTTTTTATTAATTTTTAATTTATTAAACTGATATGTGTATATATATATGATGATAATGATATTGATTATTATTGAAAGTGCTGTTAGTGGATTCATAAAGCCTTAAGTTGTTGCATGTGATCATTAATTTGATTTAAAATTATCAATTTTCTCTATGAACATTTTTTAAAAGTCTTGAGAGGTCCAATTTTTAGGGAAGACTCTGTCAAAATTTTTTAAAATTCATTCTTTCCCCTTGAATTTCTTAAATTTAGTTTTTAAGAAGGCTTTATCAAGTTGTTTGCATGTGGTCATTTTTAAGAAGGTTCAATTTTTTAACATTAGTATATTCTTTAGGAGTTGACATATGGATTGTAGTTGGATTAATGCTAGACGAACGAGTGATAAGTATGATAATCGGGTGAAGGAATTTTTAGAATTTGCTAAGAAAAATGCTGTTGATAATAGTGTAAGGTTCTATTGTCCCTGTGTTAATTGCTTGAATGAGAGGAGATTAGGTGCTGCCAAAATAAGAGAGCACTTGATTTGTGATGGGATTTGCAAGAATTATACGGTATGGATTTGGCATGGTGAATGATTGAAAAATTATAATAACATGTCTCAATACGTGGAAATTGATAATTTGGATGATGAAATAGATATGAATGAAGATCAGTTAGAGGACATGATCTGTAATGTGGGGGAAGAAGCTTTTGAATGAGCACGTGTGTATGATAACTTGTGTACTGATGTGGAGAAGCCTCTATACTCAAGGTGTATTGATTTTAGTTTGTTATCTGTGGTGTTAAAACTGGTTACCTTAAAGGCAAGAGCTGGGTGGAGTGACCAAAGTTTCACTTGGTTACTAGAGTTACTTTAAATAATGTTGCTGAAAGGCAATATACTACCAAATCATTATTATAATGCCAAGAAAATCTTATGTCCAATGGGTATGAAGTATAAAAAAAAATACATGCATGCCTTAATGATTGTGTGTTGTACAAAAAAGAGCTTGAAGGGGAGGAGAACTAGAGCGGGAATAAGGGCTAAGCCTAGAGGGCTAGGCTTAGAAGCCTTATTTAAATAAGGGTTCGGGCTTTAAAATAATGTTTTTTAAATTAATTGGGCTTGAGGGCTTGGCCCTGATAAGCCCTGTGAAGAAGGGCTTGGGCTCGGGTAGCCCTTCAAGCCCTGTTATATTATTATTATTTTTATTTTTTTGGTGGAACACGTATTTGAAACTAATGACCTGCTCACCTGATCCTACACGTATTATATTATTATTAATTTTAATTTATTCTAAAATTAATTTAATATAATTTAATAAATATTAGTGTATAGTATAAAATTCTTGATATTTTTATTTTTCTATAATTATTATGTTTGTGTATTTATAAAAAATGAATTGTTTTTTAACCAAGATTTAAATTTTATTACTAGACTTCTAAATGTGTGTTGTTTAATTTTTAAAAAATTATGAGGATTTTAATTTTTTTAATTTTAGAATATTTTAATTAATTTATAATGTTTAATTTGAATTTTATTTTTTTTATTTTTTTGAAAAAGGGCTTGCAGGCCCAGCCCTGAGCTCTTCAC